GGTCAGATAAGACAACACCTGAACGAATCCGAGGGAAAGAACGACCACCTGGCCAGAACACGTGGGCTCATCGGAGCCAGAAAGGCGCTGAAAAAACAGCCTCCACGACAACGGCGGCGAGTGCACACGAATGGCAAGCTGCGAAGCTGCACTCGCATCCGACGTGTGCGGCGGGAGGAGGGAGAGGGAAAAAAGGAAGGATGATGGAGGGTGGATCGGATACAGAAGGAGGAATTCGCTGGAATTCGCTGATACCCAGCAGTGCAACAGCACATTCAACTCAAATCGAAAGCTTCAGGCGGCAGCCCGCAAAGCCCAGCCCCGCGCCCGACAGTGCTCTCTTCACGGACAACCGCGGCCCAAGAGCCCTTCGCGGCCAGGGTAAAGCTTTCCGACATCGCAGGGGGTTATCGTGAGCTTTTTGGCGGGGGGGGGGGGGGGCGGAGTATGTGCTGAGCTGGCGCGGGTCTGCCGCGGACGCCGAACAAAGATGCAGCCTAGACTTTGGCCAGACATGCAGGACGTGCGGAGGATGGCACACCATCCGCCCCCCCCCTTCCCACCCCACCGTCACCGACCCACTTGCCCGCTCCACCCCCTCAAAATCTGAGAGGCCCGACAGGTCTGGCGGACCCTCGGCACAAGGCTTGGCATGGCACTGGTCGGCCGGTGCGTCAGGCACGATCTCACGGTAGAGGGTGCATCGCCAGCTGCGCCCTGCTCGAGCGAGGCAGTGCCGACTGGCGAAACAAATATTGGCGAGGCCCGACGCGCCAACGCGGGCCGAGCGATGCCGTTCCGCGACCCAGGAGACCGCGCGAACAGCGTCGATCATGGCATGCGCCGCTCGGCACCGAACCAGCGCCGCCGTGCAGTCCCAGAGGTCAATGTTTGCCAACCGCCCGTTGCAAATGGCATGCGTCCACGAACACTAGGCCCTGCTAATTATGTTGGCACATCGGCGCAAGCGTCACATGCACCATATCGAATTTCAGCTGGGGCGACGGAGGGGCCCTCAGGACCGGTGCGAGACGTAGACCGCCCGGGACCTCGCCCTCGCCACCGGCCTGCAGGGCCGCTCGGACCTGCGCCCGAGGTCGGCGCTGGCCCCTTGCAGGAAACGCGCCGCTTCCCATGCCACTCTCGGCGGGGTGCCGCAGTGTCTGCGACCAGACGAAAGGGGGGTCACGGAAACGCAAAAAAAGCCAACTCGAAGCCGCGGGTCTCGGCTCGAGGGACAGACTGGCGGCGGCACGCGACTCGCGGCACAGCCGCCCGCTCTCCGCTGGCCTCCAAGCAGGCCTCTGGAACTATGGCAAGGGTGCACACGCGACGGCAACGGGGGTCTCCGCCAACAAGCAGAGAGAAACCGACCTCTCGCGGCGCCTCGGGATTACAGCCCTATGAAAGTGGGCCCGAACCGTGGAGAGCCCCTCCCCCGCCCGCCGCCCGCGCCCATATGGTCGGCCGCGCGCAGGCCCTGGGAGGGAGACGGGCCAGCGGCGGCGGGGCCCAGTGCGGGGATGGGTATCCTGGGCCGAAGGGTGCAAAACGAACAGTATCAGAGCTAGATGGCTGCCCAACCTCTGAGCGGGTGCGAGCGGAGCCAGTCGAGGCTGCGGCACCAGCAGCGGGCGGCAGGCAGGCGCGCGCGGCGGCTGCTGGCGCCAAGGGCGGCGACAGCGCGCGGCCGGCGGCGCCGCGGCGGCGCGCGAGGGAAGGAGAGTGCGCCGCGGACACAGAGGGGGGCCAGAGCAACCCCAGGCTCGCCGTCGATCGCGGGGCCCGTGGCCACCCGCCGCGGCTGCGTTGAACAGGCCGACCCGATCGAAAAGCTGCGTCGTTGCTTCCCCGGCGGGCGGCTGACCTCAGCGCGAACCATGAAATCATCAGCGCCGTCTCCCGTTGAAGTGGGAAGAGGCTGCCCTCCGCTGCTGGCCGCGGACATCGCCGCCAAGGTCGGAAACGAGCCCCGCAGCATCGACGCCGCCTCCGACGCGCTCGGGGGCGATGTCGGGGCACTGCAAGACCGCGTGCACCGCGGGCGTCCAGCCCCCGCCCTGAAGAGCGGCGTTCGAGGCCCCTGGTTGCCCCCCTGGCCCCGCGACGGCGCGACTTGGACAGGGCCCCAGCCGAGCCGGAATATCAAGCCAGGTCTCGGCGAAGCATGGCGCGGGGCAGTCCTGCGCGGCAAGTCAGGCCAGATGCGCGCAAGCTGGATCCCGTGGCCCATGCCCGGGTCCGCCCACGCCTACCAGACTGTCAGCGCGGTAGCGAGGCAGCGGCCATGCCCTTGCCCAGCGTCGGACTGGACGGCCTGCCAGTTCGAAGAAGCCATGGGCGAAGGGGCCGAGCCCCGCGGCTTGGAGGCCAGAGGCCGACTCGGGAGGGCCCCCAGCAGCGAGAGACCCTCGGCTTCCGGGGCCGACTTGGCGCGCCCACGCAGCGCGATAAATGCGCTGACCTCTCGCGCGGCCTCTCCGCGGCCGCTCGCGCTCCCGGCGCGAGACCAGCGCCCCGACCCCTCCCCCGCCGCGCCGCGCCGAAGATCGGCCCGCGTCTTCGGCCACGGGGCCTGCGTGCCGAGAGGCCGCATCGTCGCAGCTAGTTCAGATCCAGGTGCGCGGCTCGGGGCCGCCGCCTTGGCCTGCGGATGAGGTCTGGGGCCCCTGGCGCGCAAGCGACCCCGCGAGGGATGCCGCGACGGCCTCCGTCTGGGCCAGCGCGTCGTGCCAGGGCCCCTTCGGTGCTGGCGACCGCGTCGCCCGCAAAAGTCCTGAGCCCCGAGGAGGTCCTGGATTGCTGGATCGCAAGATGGGCGCGGGCCCCCATCGCGCGCGCGCAATCGGGCCCGGGAAGGCCCTCGCAAGAACTGCCCCCACAGAGGAACCCGCCGAGAGAGGGCGAGTGGGGAAGTTGCGCTCGCTTACCACCACCACCTCCAGCAGCGCGGCTACTGCGGGGCACCCCTGACGGAGCGAGGCTTGAACTAGTTTGGGGATGCTCGCGTTGTCAAGGATGCCACCCCTATGAGGAGCCAAGCAACAACAAAACCGAACTCGCGAACGGCTTCATCCATGACCGCGCGCTGCAAAACGGTCCTGGGGACAAACAGTTTGCGGACTTCCGCGCCCCAGTTCTCGGACAGCCCGTTGGGCCAGGAGATGGTCAATGGCGTCTGCGCACGGGGTCGAATGCCCGTGGCTGTCGGCAGAATGCATATAACATATAAGGCTTTCTCCCACGGCGGGCTTGGGCAGCGCGGCGCACAAAGTGAGCGGCGACAACGCGGGCCAGGATCCCAAGGCCTCAGCCAGGTTGAGGAAGGCGGTGAACTCACGTCTTGCATCAGGGGACAGTTCCTGCAACTCCGTAGGCCCAAGGACATCGACTCATTTGGTCAAATGGCAGCGATAGCGTCGGCATCCAAAGGCGGGAGGCTCTCTATCTCCACGAGCTCGCTAGCGCAGCAGCTCCATGCGTCTGAGCGGTCCGTCTGCCTGGCAGAGCTGCACGCGTCCATGGCGGAGCCCAGCGGTTGACCGTGTCGGCCATGATCGCCCTGGGGTCCGCCGCGCCGCCAGGCCGCCCAAACTGAGGATTCCCCAGTACCTCAGGGCTGGGAGGTGTACTTCACGCGCTGGGCCACGTATCCTTGGCCCGTTTGACAACGGCCTCGCTCGTGGCTGTCAGGGGTAGCCTAGGGCCCTGCCGACCCACCTTTCGGTATCGTCTACGACGGTCGGCAAATCACCTGTGGACATCCCACCGCTGGACAGCAGGACCAACTCCAGCTATTGATCGACATCCGAAGCGGTGGATTTGGCCTAATGATGACTGCCCTTAGATGCAACTCTCCTGCTGCTTCACGTCGGCCCCGTACCGCTCCATCGCAGGAGACCGCATGTGTGCGTCCGTCCAGGAGATGCCTCACCGCCCTACCCCTGAATGACGGAGCGCGCCTCTTGTCGGTCCCGCGGGACCGCCCACGCTGCGCTCAGCTCAACGAAACCGTCTTGTGGTTCCGCGGTGCAGGCGTCGACATGTTCGCGTCGAGCGTCAGCAGCGGCGGATGAGGAGGAGGCAGGAGACGAGGAGGATTCAGCAGAGGAGGAGGAGGAGGAGGAGGATGATGAGGAGGAGGAGGACGAGGCCCCCACCGTGCGCTCATCGCTGGTGGGAGTTTCGTCGGCTGGCGGGTTGAATTCGGCAAAGGTGGCTTGCAGCTCCGCTGGAAGGTCGGCATCCCTGCGCGGCCTTCAGCCTGTTCTGCCCCTGGCTGTCGGGGTCGCGGGCCTTCCCTGGCCGAGCTCGCGGCGGCAAGGCGAGCAGGATGCCCACGATTCGGCAAAGGAGGAGGACGAGGAGGAGGAGGAGGAACAAGAGGATAAGGACGAGGAGGAGGAGGGGGAGGGGGGGGGCAATAGGACGAGGAACCGCAGCAGCAGAAGGGAGGGTGGAGGTGCAGGAGGAGGAGGAGGAGGAGGAGGAGGAGGAGGAGGGAGAGGAGGAGGAGGAGGAATCGGGAAATGGACCAGCAAGGCGGATGGATGGATGAGGAGAAAACGAAGAGGGCGGAATACGAATAAGAATAATAATATTAATCACAACACTACTACTCATAATAATAACAGCACTACAAATACTGCTAAACCAAATAATGGCATGATAAGAGTAATGACCACATTAAGAAAACAATGCTGTATTATCAATAGTGATAGTACGAATAGTCTTACTATTCGTATTAACAATAGAAATCGTAAGTGTAAGAGTAGTAGTAATAATATTAGTAATAATAGTGATACTAGTTATAGTAATGGTTGTAGTAGTAATCAGAGTAATAAGCGAAGAAGGAAGCCAAAGAAGAAGAAGGGGAAGCGGACGAGGAGGAGGAGGCGGCGGAAGAGGAGGAGGAGGAGGAGGAGGAGGCGGAAGAGGAGGAGGAGGAGCAGGAAGGCGACGGCAACGATGGCCCTCTCCCCCCCCGATCGGGGGAGCGCCTGGCCGCCGGCGCCGAGGTCCTCCCCGGGAATGGGCTCCGCAGCCGCTTGGAGCAAGTGCGGCGCCAGCAGCTCCGTGAAGATGGCCACGCTCGCGGACAGCAGGGCCCCGCACGAGACGAAGCCGAACTGCCGGGCCGCCGCCGCCGCCGTCGGCGCTGCCATCGGCGGCGTCGGCGCCGCCGTCACTGGCGTCATTGGCGGCGCTGGCGGCGTCGGCGTCATCGGCGCGGTCGTGTCGGTAGCGGTCTAGCGTCGTCTTCGAACAGTCGTCGACGTGGTCGTTCCGGCGGTCGTGATCATGGTGGTGGTCACCGTCGCAGTCGTTGACACCAAGAGGAAGGAGGAGGGAGGAGGGGGGGGGACGAATACATATTCTGCCTGAGTGCCACGGATTCAAACATCACCTCGGCCCGGCTGATAGGCTCATGTTCTATGTACTCAGGTTTATATTATTCCAACAACGGTTTCAGGTTGCGCCTCGGTGATGTAATACTTGACGCCATGGCTCTCGTGGAACGCGTTTCTTTATTTTCGGCGATGACGGGCGTCCTGGGGGGGGGCCGGGGGGTATATGACGTAACGACCCCCCCTCGCCGTGTGGCTCCAGCACCACAGCCGCGTCCGCGCGCACGACGACGATGAGCGACGAGCGACGAGCGACGAGCGACGACGACGACGACAACGCGAGCAGCATGTAGGTGGCGATCTGCCCCACAGCGCATGTGTACACCAGTGGTCGCGTGCACCACAGCGCTTGTGTACACCAGAGAGCCTGCGTTCACCGCAACAACCGTGTGCAACGCAGCGCCTGTGTACTGCCTGCGTGCACCACAACGCCGCTGTACACCACAGCGAATGTGTACACCGCAGCAGCCATGTGCAACACAGCGCCTGTCTACACCACAATGCTCACGTGCACCGCAGCGCCTGTGCACACCACGCCCCTGTCTACACCACAGCATCCGCGTGCAACGCAACGCTGGTGTACACCAACGTGCCTGCGTGCACAGGGCAGGTGAAAGGATAATGGCGGCGAGGATCTGCTGAGGACAACTAAACGCCACGCCAGGGAACTGCTGATAATAGACTGCTACGTTATTCACCCCTCCTTCCTCCACCTCCGCATCCTCTTCCTCAACCTCCTCCTTCTTTTTCTTCCTCCTCCTCCCTCATCCTGACCTCCTGTCGTGCGGGTCGGCGCTACAGCGCACGTGCGCATTTCAGCGTGCACCGCAGAATGGTCAGTTGAATCAATCCAATTAGTTCTCGGACGGCCAGTTTAGCTGGAACCTTTTGGACGCAGATAGGAGGAGTTAGGATGCGGGCGGACTCCAGAAGACTCGTAGATTCCAACGGCGCTCCTTTTTCCAGAATGATTCCCTTCTAAATCAAATATAAAAAATGCTCCCTGTTGAATCCACAGGCGCTCCATTCTGTCATAAGGATTCCTTAAAACAATTCTAAATACAACGGTGGTGCTTTGTTGCACACGGTTGCTGTGGTGCACACAGGCGCCGTGGTGTACACAGGCGCTGTAGTGCACGCGCGCATTGTGGTGTACATTGGGAGGGCGCGCCGCTGGATGACCCCAAGGGGGGGGGGGGAACCCCCCCAGCCTTTCCCCGACCCTTCGTCGGGACTCCCCCCCCCCTCTCCCCCTTTCCCGATCCGTCGTCGGGGACCCCCCCACCCCCCTTTCCCGGTCCGTCGTCGGGGACCCCCCCCCCCTACCCCCTCTTTCAAAAGGGGGGGGGGTCCGAACCCCCCCCCCGTCTCACCCTTTTTGGCCGCCAAATTCGACTCCCCCCCCTTTTCGCCACAGCGCCCCCGGTCTCCGGAACCCGACCCCGACCACCCCTAACACTAATCCTCACCCCTACCCTAGCCCCCATGCCTAACCCCCAACCCAAACCCAAACCCTAGCCCCAAACAGCACTCACTACTCATTACGCACTACCCACAATTCACTACTCGGTACTTACTACTCACTTCTCCCTTCTCCCTACTCGCTACTCACGACGCACTACTCACTACCCACGACTCACTACCCACTACCCACTACTCCCGACTCCCTACTCCCTACTCGCTACTTGCTACTCACTACAAACTACTCAGTACTCACTACCCACTACTCACTACTCACTAAACACAACTCACAACTCACTGCTCAGTAATCACGAATCACTACTCACCCACTAGCCACTACTCACACTTCACTACTCACTACTCACTGCCCACAACTCACTACTCACTATCCACTACCCGCTACTCGCTACCCCCTACACAATACTCCATACTCACTACTCGCTAATCCCAACGCCCTATTCGCTACCCGATACGCACTATTCACTACCCACTATCCACTACTTACTACTGAGTACTCACAATTCACTACTCACTACGCACTGCCCACAACTCATATTTCACTATCCGCTTCTCGCTACCCAATACAAAATATTCACTACCCACTACGCACTACTCGCTAATCATTACTCCCTACTCAGTAGTCACCAGTCGCACGTCGCTACTCACTACTCACTACTCGCTACTCACGACTCACTACTCACTAAATCATACTCGCAACTCCCTACTCTCTACCCACTGCTCGATACCCACGGCTCGCTTCTCACTTCTCACTACGCACTACTCACGACTCCCTACTCACTACTCCCTACTCACTACTCGCTACTCCCTACTCGCTACGCACTACTCCGTACTCACTACTGACTCCTGACTACTCCCTCCTCGCTACTCACTACTCACAAGGCCCTACTCGCTACTCTCTACTCACTCCTCGCTACTCCCTACCCGCTACTCCCTATTCACTACTCGCTACTCGCTACTCACCACTCACTACTCACTACTTTCTACTCACTGCGCACTACTCACTGCTCACTACTCACTCCTCGCTATTCGCTGCTGTCTACTCCCTCATCCCTACTCCCTGCTTACTACTCACTACGCACTGCACTCTACACACTACTCACTCCTCATTACTCATAATTCCTTACTCTCTACTTTCTTCCCGCTACTCACTTCCCACTACTCACTACTCACTACTCAACGATCTCTACGAACTACTCACTACTACCACTACCCATTACCCACTACTCACAAATCACTAACCACAACTCACGACTCACTACGCACTACTCACTATCAAATACCAACTACTCACCAAACGCTACTCAAACACACTCTACTCTCTACTCGCTACCCGAGAGGCCCTCTCCCCAGCCCCCTGTTCGGCGCAATGGGGGGGAGGGGGGGGGGGTCGAACCCCCCCTCCCCTCTCCAGCGCCAAGGGGGGGAGAGGGGGGGAGGGGGGGGGGGTCGAAAATCTCACCCCCCGTTTGAAGGGGGGGAATGGGGGGGGGGTTTGCGAGCACACCCTCCCTTTTGTGAATTCAGGACTATCCACTGGCTCGCTTTCGTACATTGGTGCAGTGTTGCATACGGCTGATGTGGTGCACGCAGGCGCTGTGGTGTACACAAGCCTCGTGGTGCCAGCAGGCACTGTGGCACAAACTAGCGCTGTGTTGTACGCGGCTGCTGTGGTGTACGTAGGCGGCGTGATGTACACAGGCGCTGTGGTGCACGCAGGCACTGAAGTGTACACAGGCGTTGTGGTGCAGATCGCCGCCGACATGCTGCTGCTTCCCGTCTCCGATCATTATGAAGCATTCCCAAACGCCGCCGGCGCGAAACGTGACGTCATCGGCCCCCTCCACCCCCCGAGATGATTGCCGTCATCGGCCCGGAATTACAAAACAGGCTCCAGCCGCGTCCGCGCGCACGACGACGATGAGCGACGATCGACGATCGACGAGCGACAACGACAACGACAACAATGACGACGACGACGACGACGACGACGACGACGGCGGCGGCGGCGACGACGACGACGACGATGACGATTGCGGACCAAACTTCTATGCGGATATCTATGCGGACACGTAAAAACGCGTTTATTCATGTTCGGAAATGACGGGCGTCATGGGGGGGGGGGGCGGAGGGGGTATGACGTAACGCCCCCCCCCCCGTCGTGTGGCTCCGGTACCACAGCCGCGCCCGCGCGCACGACGCGACGAGCGACAGGCGACGACGACGACGCGAGCAGCATGTAGGTGGCGATCTGACCCAGTGCGCCTGTGTACACCACAACGTTCGCGTGCACCACAGCACGCGTGTACACCACAGCTCCTGCATACACCGCAGCAACCGTGTGCAACGCAGCGCCTGTGTACACCGCAGTGCTTGCGTTCACTACAGCGCCGGTGTACATGTGCACACCGCAGCAACCATGTGCAATACAGCGCCTGTGTACACCACAATGCTTGCGTGCACCGTGGCGCCTGTGCACACCACAGCGCCTGTTTACACCACAGCGCTTGCGTGCATAGGACAGGTAGAAGGAGCTTGTACGTGAGGATCCGCTTCGGAAGCGCCACGGGAAAGTGCTGATAATCGGATGCGACGTTTTTCCCTCCTCCCTTCTCCTCCACTTCCACCTCCTCCTCCTCCTCCTCCTCCTCCTCTTCCTCCTCCTCCTCCTCCTCTTCCTTCCCCCTGTCGTGCGGGTTGGCGCTACAGCGCACGTGCGCATCTCACCGTGCACCGCAGAATGGTCTATTGAATCGGTCCACTTGGTTCTCGGACGGCCAATTTAGTTACGGCGATGCGGGCGAACTCGGAAGGACTCGTAGATTCCCCTGGCGCTCCTTTGTCCATAAGGATTTTTCCCCAAACAGCTTGCTGAACGGGGTGCTGTTGTGATAAAAGCTCAGTCCGGCCGAGGGAACGGGGAGCAGAGACATCCTCACAAAAATCTGATGGTCTGGGCCGTTTCGCTTGAGACATCCTCACAACTCTCGTTTCTGAGTTGGCCAGGATTGGCCGTTTCGCCTGAGACATCCTCGAAAAGTTGCGCTCCAGGACGCCGCGCGAGAGGTGGTCCGGGCCGTTTCGCTTGAGACATCCTCGAAACTCTGAGCCCC